AAAAAAAAAAAAAAAAAAAAAAAAGAAGGAGCAAAATTCCCTTCCTGTGGCCCCTATGCCCAGAGGTGTAGGCCCAGACGTCTATTTCTTTGCTCAAGAGAATCTCTAAGGTCCTTGCTTTACACATGTAGAAAAGTTGAGTTGATTTTCATTCCAGAAGCAATGTAGGGTATTGTGTGTGGCTCACAGAGAAAATGGTACTTTTCTGGTTTAATTCACATTCTAAGGCTATTAGGAACTTGGACCCATTTCTCCTTTGCTTTACTCAATTTTTCCCTCTCTGATTTGTCCCCTTGAGCCTTTGTCCAAAATTTTACATCAAATTCCTTATTTTCTTGAGGAATTCAATGAACTCTTTGGACAGTTAGGATATTAACTCTGGTATCACTGCTGCAAATATTTTCCTTTTTATTTAGGAGCTTTCTGATGTACAACAATGTTTAGATTTTATGAATTCAAATTTGCTGGGCTTTCCATCTACTACGGACAGACTTCCCCAGCTGTAAAAGGAAGGAATCTACTCCCGGCACAGGGGTCCGCAGCGCATCACCTGCCTCTGTAGACAAACTTCATGGGTTCCACGGCCAGTGCAGTGGCCACAACATCATCCGCATTGTGTCTGCGAACTCCAGTGACCATCAGCCCGTCCAATTTGCCCACGATGAAGACCAGGTTGTCCTGAGGGAAATGGTGTGGGTCAGGATTCCACCCATGGGCAGAAGCTGGATGCGCCAGGACCATGGTCAGGCCCCCCAAGAAGGGGCCGACAGCACAGGAGCCTCGGGAGCCTCGCAATTGGGTCAATGCCCCACAGACTCAATGTGCAATGCAGGCCCTATGACAAGCCAGGCTCGGAAAAGGGGCAGGCTGTGTGGAAGGAAGCAGGCCTGTGGGGCAGTGTTAGGAAGGGAGCATGGGAAACGCTCACAAGTGGGAGACAAGTTGTGGGTGGAGTCTGTGAAGGACTGAAAACTGCTGCACTAAGGGTAGGGGTCCCAAACCCGGCACCAGTGACCTTCTGGGTTGACAATATCGTTGCAGGTGCTGTCCTGGGCAATGCTGGCCACCGAGCAGCATCCCTGGCCTCTAGGTACTCACTATATGCCAGGAACACTCCCCTACCCTGAGTTGTGACAAGCAAAAATGTCTTCAAAAGTTGCCAGAAGGCCGGGTGCGGTGGTTCGCGCCTGTAATCCCAATACTTTGGGAGGCCATGGCGGGCAGATCACCTGAAGTCAGGAGTTCGAGACCAGCCTGACCAACATGGAGAAACCCCGTCTCTACTAAAAATACAAAATTAGCTGGGCGTGGTGGCACACACCTGTAATCCCAGCTATTCAGGAGGCTGAGGCAGGAGAATCACTTGAACCCAGGAGGCGGAGGTTGCCGTGAGCCGAGATCGCGCCACTGCACTCCAGCCTGGGCAACAA